GCATACGAGTTCGACGTACGTGTCGTTTGCATATTACATTATATATATGTTTACATAGATGCGTTTAAAGTTATGTAAAAAAAAAAAATCGTTTCATTCACGCACGCTGCATTTATACGGTTGCCTATTAAATCTCGATCAATTCGATTGTTAACGAAATTAACGCCCATGCATTATGTTAATATAATATTCCGTATTAACAATCATCATCGCTCGTGTTTCATACATTTTGTATACATCATCGGTGTAATAAAGATGCGTTACCTATTGTCGTTGTCACGTTGTTGTTTAATTACTAATATTTTTTGAAACTCGAGGTAATTTATTGAACAAAATCTCAACAGTATACGCAATCAAATTCATAACGTGCTAATTATTTCGGTACGGCCATATAGATATTATTTTTATTTTTTTTTTTTTTGTTCCTGTTGATACGGTAAATTTTCAAAAATAAATTAAAGCCATCCATGGTATGAGAAGCGCAATATAGACTCGTTGAAAGCGTAGTAAAACCTACAGTCAAGTGTAAGCGACAGGTTTAGTAATTGAATAGCAATCGAAATCTTAGAAATCATAATCTTCGAGGAGCTTTTGAACGTTTAGGGCGTAGGTTATGTTTAGTGTGTCAAGACCACGAGTAATTTCCATCAATCACGTAATGTTTGTTCTCGATTTCGTCAATTGATATCGCCATGGTAGCGTTTTAACTCTCAGCAGCATAATATATGTAATGTACATGATTTATTGGGATAAGAGTGCCAATAATAAGTTTGGAAACGTTTTCTGATATTTGTACTCGTGGTTTACATACAACACGTAACAAAACTCAATCTATTTCAAGGTCACACTATATTTTACATACGATACGGTATTTACTGAAATTTAATTTTCGACATGGTTATATATTTTAAGTTTGAAGTCTGATGAATAATTACCGTTTCCGTCATAATTTCCAATGCATTTTAGATCGATAAAAACCAAAATGATGCAAATTCGCTTTTTCCGAGTCGACCGACTACATAATAATACGTGTTACATTCGTTGATGAACTTTTTAAAAAAACCAGTTCACTTACAGTGGTTCGTATTCAAAGTATACAATGCCGTTTTATAATATCCAATGCTATAAAGTTAAGTCAGTGCACGCGTTGCATATTATATTATATACGTAAATCGAATAAATTCGATGTATTGAACATTTTTATGTTTACAAACCAGTTTACCGAAAACGTGTCGGCGGGCAAAAAACAAAAATCGGAAGAGCAATAAATATGAACGCTTTTCGATGTTATCTACGATGGCTTTATTATGCAGGCACATGTGTACAGTCGCACGAAATTTTGAGCAATATCGACAAAAATTCATTCACCCACATTGCGCCCGTTTCTCCTGAGAAGTTTTTATAAAGAAAAAAAAATGTCGTCTGCACAAATATCGATTTTTTTTTCATTCTTCTTTTGTGTTCCGTCTTCTCGTACACCGCCGACCGCGTACGTCAACGACGTAACGACGTGCATATGCAAATGAACGTACGGGTATACTGTTATCACACGTGCACGTACGGACTCGATCCCGGCGCGTCTTCAGCTGTGTGCGCGCCCGATCGCCGTCGGTATTGGTATCCGTTTTTTTTATTTTTTTCAATTCATTTATCGTTTTTGCATTCCATCGAGGTGAAAATGACAAAAAACACATTGTTCCCAGTGCTCGCTCCCCACAATCGACGTATTTGGAATAATTATTATATCGGTCGCGCAGATCTCGCGGCCGTACGTGTGTTCCCCGAACAATAGGACCCTGTATTTTTCGAGCGACGCGTGCACGACCGCACAATCGGCCGACCCGATCTTCGGACACGTGTTTTCACGGCAACGTCTTGTTCTCGCGGAGAAATGAACGGGGTTAGGGTTAGCCTGACCGCGCAGCGATCGAAACGGTACTACCGGAGACTCGCCGTCCGATGTTACGGAATCGGCCGTGTCGCCGTTCGTTTAGAAAATTTATTTTTTTCGTTCCATAATTATTTTTATTGTTTACCGCGGGCTTGTACTCGCCGAACATCGGAACGCGTACAGAACTATTTGCCGACGACCAGCAGCATAACCTTTTCTCCCGCGCCGTGTACAACTCCGTATGAACGTGCAGTGCACACAAACGGACGTAAGAAATTAAAAATGGGGAAAAAAAAACACACACACACAGAAAAATATGCCCCGGGGACTCCGAGTCGGGGTGACAGCCAATTGACGTGGATACACTGAGATGGCTAAGGCGGCGGTTGAACGTATACACACGTACGGTCCGTAGATTAATATTTTTTTATTCGTCGACACAAGGTTGTAACGCGGTAACGTAATAAGAGAAGGAAAAAAAAAGGAGAGAAAAAAATAAATAACTTGATAATATTTTATAGCCCGGATAGCATCGACGTCGTTTATTATGTCCAATAACATTTTTTCGGTGACGGGATAACATAAAAGCGTAGTGGCCTTCTCTCGCCCCCCAGACCGTTCTCCCCGGCCGACCGTCCGCGCGCACGTACGTGCGTGCAGACCCGGCTCAAACGTTTGCTTATACCTAGGCAAACTTAAGTTTTGCCGCCCCTTACATGTAAATACTACACCAAATACTATTTTTACATTAAAAATACTAAAATAGACTTAATTCTGAGTTAATTATATTTATTTATGTAAAGTTAACAATTTATTAGATTAATACATTCGTAGACTAGTAAAAAACCACTAATAATTTAAATAAAACAAAACGGATTTTTGAGTCTTATTTTTTATCACACATAATTTGCTATGATTAGGTACTAGTAAATGTAATATTTTTTAAAAATTATCCATAGTTTAAAAATTATAAATGCCGCTATAGGCGTGGACCTATGTCGGCTATGCCTTGAGCTGGGCCTGCGTGTGTGCGTTCGGTGTTCCCGCCATCGGAACATCTTGTTATCGCATCGCTACTACACACGTGCGTCAATTCGACGCCGACGGACTGGCTGCCGTCAAACGCGCTGTAAATAAAAAACTAGGAGCAACAGTGCGATACGAAAAGTGTTCTCGTTCGAAACACCGTGATCACGAAGGTTTTGTTTCTCGTTTTCTCCCCTCGCGGCAAGAAAAAAGAAAAAAACCGTCGCGATATGGTAAAACGATGATGATACGATCGATCACGTTCGTAATTCTCACTCGGATACAAGCTCATACAAGCGGCGGATTTCAAACGGCTGTTGACCGAAAAAGGGTATTTGTAAACGCGACGTGCACGTAAACCGTGGTGTAATACTGTTTACGCGGTGTGTGCGCACGACGCGCAGAGATGAGACACGTGTCAGCGTTTTTCCAGTCGTTTTTTCATCCCCCTCCCCCGCCACCGACCGTCAGAATACCTTTTTCGCTTTTCCAAATATTGACAATGTCCGCGAACATTATAGAGGTCAATCGGGGGCGTACAATACTTATAATGACAACAACAACACAACGGTACGCGCGTTAAGATCGACCACATCGTTTAATACCTCTATATAAAATATGCGCACAAGTAAACGCGTGAAACATCGTACAGCCACCGCTATTATTGAAATCAGAATATTTTACACGCGACAAATCGATGTTTGCGAAACGCCAACGAATCATTTTTTTTTTTTTTTGTTTCGTATTGGATTTTCGATTACTGTAGCCACCACTCGCGTGCACACGCCACGCCGGGTCTCAGTGCACGACGAAACACATTCGAACTGGTACGAACGACTCACGCGAAAACATATTATTACGAATCATCGAAAATACGAGCAGTGTAATTTTAGACGGCTGCTGCTGGACGAATGGTATACGAATTACGTATTTATCTATTTTTCTTTCGCCGACTCCCTACGAGATTGTAAACACCAATAGCCGTTTTGCGTACGTGCACGTCATCGTACATAATAACCGGGACTCGGAAGTCACAGCACTAACATTTTTTACTTTTTAACTCTTAGATATGTTTTTAGCTCTAACCTAACTGTGAATCAATCCGTTTCATACGATTCGTTGCGAACCTTTAGACGTTCACCTTGTTCAACCGCGCAGGCCGTTACCGGCGAAGGCGATCGTTTGACGTTTAAGACGCGGTTTTTCGTCGGTACACAGACATTTCCCACGCGGGTCAATGTAAAAATCACCTGTTGATATCGGATGCGTATTTAGATCTAAAACGCTGGGAGCACTACGATACCCCCGCGAGCCTGGAAAATACAGGGTTACACAAACACTTGTGTTTACCCTTAAATCGTTATCGATGTTAGTAAAACGTTAAGCAACCAAACCTTTTAGTTTCTTTAAGTTCTTTCACTTCCGTAATATAATTTAAACTGGAACTCTTAAATCGAACAGAAATTCAATTATTAGTCTTTTAGTAACGATTACTAATATTATAATGCTTTTTATTGTTTCAATTAAACAAGTTAGGGCTTAGTTATTTTCGATATTCAATTGGTAACGATTTTAAATTGAATTTAATTATTTCGTGTTTACCTACTATTCGTCTTGCTTCGACCGTTTTCGTTACCCCAATAGCATAAAATGTAAAATATATACGATTATATTGAGACATTATATACTGGTTTATATCAGATAACCGAGATCAGCCGTGTTCTTGTTTTTTTAGAATAAAAAATGTAATACAATTCTATCGAATTCAACTAATTATGTATCTAGATTATTAAAATATTAATTACTTTATTAGCTTGTGAGAAACTCTAACTTCACCCTGCTGAATACAATTTCATGAAATGTAATTTCATACAATAATGATTGCAACATTTTTGAATAAAATAACGTTATTACATAAGTTAAATTGGTGATGTTAATAATGAGTTTAGTGGTAGTGAGTACCCCAAGCACCCCAACTAAATACGTCAATCGTGTTTTGTATACATATTTATAGCGATAAAACTGTTTCATACAATATTACATTATCATACTTCTCACGTGGTATATATACACTTATTTCCAGCTGTGAACCGTAGAGTTAGCAGCGAACATATTTCCCTGGTGTCAAGACTTAACGGTGATACGAGACCTAAGGATAATTGTTATTAATTAACATTAACCGTCCGTACACAATGAACAAGTTGATGTAAAGTTTTTCGTGACAACCCAACGCGCCAAACAAGTTTTTGCGCTCCACGGTCAAGACCATCACTGCACCCGAAGGTAAGGTTATACGTTTAATTACCATATTACCATAAGCACATTCATTGTATGGATGTGCAATATATATTATGGTTTATGTATTACATTTTATAAAACATTGATTTTATAATGTATAACCGACTAAGTACAACGCGTCATACTTTTAATACCTATGAGCCTTATAAAATCCAATTGTTTTCACGGGGATGAGGAGCAAGTACCCCGTATTGGCTTATCCCTATATATTCTTCTTTCAATGGCTGCCAACGATAAGACATGTTAACCGTGGCAGTTTTTTTTAATTATTTTTGGGAGGGGGGTCTTTTTTCATTATCTTATAATATATGAAGATAAAAAATGTTAACCATTAATTAAGTAAAATATCAGTACCTTAATAGGCAATATCTGTAACACTCAAATATACGGACATACGTTTAAAATCACCAGATTTATATATAAACGTACATCCGTATATAAAATATAATTTATTATAGTCTAAGCGCGTGACCTGGGGGGGATTTGGCCCCCTTAACCCTTTCTCCCGTAAAACCGCCACTGCATGTTAGCTATATGTTATCATATGATTCCTGGTTGTATATTTTCCGTTTTGAACTTAAAATAATAAACAAGTTGCGTAAAACGATGGGTCACACATTATTGCCTTATTTTTTGTTTTTTAAGTAGATCAATCTATGGTATACCGGTGTTATATTTATAGATTATTTTACTGGTCGCAGTCAATTTGCAAAAATATTATTATAGTGTAATCATGTGAGATGAGAGTATACCTATTTTTCGTTTCAGTATAAGTTTTAAATATTTTAGAGATATTACATATGTGGTATAGATTTCGAACAATATGCTTGTCATGCATACGTGTACAATAACATAAAGAAGGAAGTAATCATTTTCATAAAATAATTACGTTAAAAAATGTACAGCTCGTGGTGTGCTGAGAAATGATAAAAGTTGTTTTCAATCTCTGCTGCCGACACAATTCGTATTGAAATAAAATTAATAAAAGTAGTAATTCGATAATAATCTGTGATGTAAAGCAAATCACTAAATGGGTCTTGTATCGATTATTGCATCATTAAATAATTAGGTCGAATCGGTGCCCGCAATAAGTACACCTGTTTAGAAAGAAATTGAAAAGTATGTCGACAGGATATATTTTGAGTATTCAATTTTACAAGTGAAAAAGTTGTACAATATTGTCAATAATATAAGTCAAACTTGAAGTTTATAAAGTTGAATAAGTAAGAAGATTAATACAGTTTTTTTTTTTTTTTAATTCTAATTAATTAATAAAAAAGATTACTTTGTTATTATATTTAACAGAAGGGAGGAGGAGAATGAATACAAATTTTACAGTTTAATTTGAATGTTACGTTTTCAATTAATTAGTGAAGTACCTTTATATATCAACTGATAACAATAATACTTCTGAAAAAACGTGAAAGTAATGCGTTTCATACGTTCATCGAAAATAAATGTTATTAATTCGTATAATTCCGACCGAAATTGGTGATTGCCTCTGACATATAAGCGTACCATATTCAGAAAATTCCGTGAAATACTGTTGAAATAAATGCGCACGTATATGTTAAAAAAAATATATACGATTAACTCATTTCGTGAAAAATTGTAAAACATGCTGCATATACTTAGATATTGTGACGATAAATTATTCATTTTTTACATCACATACACGTGTGTGTGTGTATGTGTGTGTGTACCACTCGTTGCCTCGTACACTCATTATTCAATGTAAAAAGTATTCCATAATTTCTATTTCAAATGCTCTACATATCCCGCGTGGCGGCATATACCATGTGTATTATACATATACACTCGCGGCATGATATTGCGACGTATACAAATACGAAACAAATAAGTTTTCAACATTTTGAACGAAAACGTGACCCGATTCAACAAAATCACACTCACAAGTCTACGATATCCAACGAATCGTGTACATATATATAAATACACGTGCATAGGTGTAAATGGATACGACGAATATGTATTCGGTTTCTGCAGCGCGTGCAACTTCCGTCGTGTAATAAGTATTTAAAAAAAGATAAAACATCATCGCCATCGTCGTTGCACTGTCATGAATGGGACCGTTTAAGAAAAAAAGGTGATTACGAAAAGTATAATTAATCTATATTATACTTATCTCGGCGACTTTTAACCGGTTACCGATTGTAGCTCGCAATAAAAGCGCGTTAGAGGCGGCGTTTATTAGTTGGGTCCCGAAGACCTTTATTTAGTCTAGTTGGGCGATTGTAAACTCCACCAGAACATCGGTTAAGATAAAAAGCTAATAAAAGGTCTAATGTAAACTCCACCAGTTTCTTTTTCTTACCTGTAATGTGTATGTTACGGTTAAAGTCCGAAACATAGCTAAAGTGCACATTACCCGGATATTCTGCACGGTCCATTATTTTAAGAACCGGACCGGACTTCAAATTTTACCAGTGGACCAAAGTCGGACCGGACCGGACCGGAATTTCAATGTGAATAAGTGTTGACAAACGAGTTCGTGTGCTGGTCAATTTTATACCCTTTTGTTGTATTCATTCTTAAGTAATTACAGCGTTCAACTATTTGATTAAATATCGTAAAAAACAAAAAAAAAGTCCAGATTAATTACGGTAAATAACTAAAGATTTCTGAGATAGCCTTAGGATTTTTATTTAAATAAAATAATAGATACTTATCTATTTTTTATTTTTATTAATCTTATCTGATTAAATCTAAATACATCACTTTAAATAATAGTAAAAATTGTTAAACACCTGTGCGTCCGAGCTGTCTCGTTCGGGCGCCGTATAACATAGATGACGTGTCGAATTAAAAAGCTGGTGTTTAGTAAGAAATGTATGCTGATAACACCCCCAGGTAATGCATTCCATGTAATGCATTAACTGGAGGCGCCACCAGTAGCTACAGTGTCTTAGAACCGTTAGATAAGGAGCCACGTCATCTTTTTTCTGTTTCTTGCAAATATTCTTTAAGAAATTCGAAAGAAGATGCGGTTCGATTCTCGGTCAGGTTTTTTGTGATTTTTTTAAAAAAAAATTTTTTTGTCACGCCCATTTATTTATTTTTATTATTTATTGATCAGACCAATTACATTAATTAAAATATTACTTATTACCTTAGTTTTCTCACTAATCACCACCTTAACTTTTGAATGATTAATGTCATTATATCACTCAGTCGGAACATAAATTTAATACTTAAAACCGATCAATACTCATATGTGACTATGTTGTAGATGGCAGATTTCATCCCATGCGCCAGGGATGTGACCAATATAATGAATTTAATATAATAAAGACACAGCCCCTGCATTCATGCAAACACTGAACCACAGTCATGAAAGAAGTTTGCAACATAGAATGAAAACCACATTAAATTACAATTGATGCTGATAAATGAAAACCCTGAAACATGGCAATGAAGTTTTGTAGAACAACACTTATTAAACATCAAAATAAAGGAAAAAAATGGCTGTAGAAATAACAACACACGTAAACAAATTAGAGGTGCATACTACGAAAAAAGACATGATACGAAAGATTAATTGTATATCTGAAAAAAAAAGACTGTTAATCTCAGTGCCTCGTGACTCTTAACTATAAGAACAATTGATAATTATAAAGAAAACACGAAAAAAAAAAACAGACAGTTCCGCGCAATGATTAACAACGCAACTGCGTTACTGGCCGGTCACACACTGAGACACATTGCTATCGCCGACCAATGCTGCAGTAACTCAACTCACTATGCATCACATAAAAATTTGAATAGCTCGATTTTCTTTCATTATCGGGTAATTTTTAGAACAAAAGAAAATAATCATTAATGTTCAAATTGTTTTTAACGTTTATTAGACGTATTAAATATCGTAAGTGTATAGTCCAATTTCTTGCTAAAAAATTTAACGAGAAAATGAAAATAATATTGTTACTTACCTATACATGTGAAAATGAAAATGATAATTTTTTTTAAAAAATGTTTTGAAAGAAGTTATGTTACAAAAAGTACATATGTTTACATAATGCATCTAATAATCATTAACTTCTGAAAACTAAGATACATTATAATTCCACTACAAGGAAGTCGGCAAGTGTCCAAAAGTCCGTTCAAAACGCAACGAATGGACTGTGCGAAAAGATGGAATAAAAGTGTTCAAGAAAGATCAGTGCACTAGTATCGAAGACGGACTCAGAATGGTTGTTAATCATTGCGCGGAACTGTCTGTTTTTTTTCGTGTTTTCTTTATAATTATCAATTGTTCTTATAGTTAAGAGTCACGAGGCACTGAGATTACCAGTCTTTTTTTTCAGATGTACAATTAATCTTTCGTATCATGTCTTTTTTCGTAGTATGCACCTCTAATTTGTTTACGTGTGTTGTTATTTCTACAGCCATTTTTTTCCTTTATTTTGATGTTTAATAAGTGTTGTTCTACAAAACTTCATTGCCATGTTTCAGGGTTTTCATTTATCAGCATCAATTGTAATTTAATGTGGTTTTCATTCTATGTTGCAAACTTCTTTCATGACTGTGGTTCAGTGTTTGCATGAATGCAGGGGCTGTGTCTTTATTATATTAAATTCATTATATTGGTCACATCCCTGGCGCATGGGATGAAATCTGCCATCTACAACATAGTCACATATGAGTATTGATCGGTTTTAAGTATTAAATTTATGTTCCGACTGAGTGATATAATGACATTAATCATTCAAAAGTTAAGGTGGTGATTAGTGAGAAAACTAAGGTAATAAGTAATATTTTAATTAATGTAATTGGTCTGATCAATAAATAATAAAAATAAATAAATGGGCGTGACAAAAAAATTTTTTTTTAAAAAAATCACAAAAAACCTGACCGAGAATCGAACCGCATCTTCTTTCGAATTTCTTAAAGAATATTTGCAAGAAACAGAAAAAAGATGACGTGGCTCCTTATCTAACGGTTCTAAGACACTGTAGCTACTGGTG